CTGAGCTAGGTTTTAACTGCAGCTCGGTTTAAACGGCTGTATTTGTAAAGCACCTTGGGGGGTTCTACAACCCCCCAAGGTGCTTTACAGCACAATCACCCGTTCACACGCTGGTGGGGATGAGCTACCATGTAGCCACAGCTGCCCTGGGGCGCACTGACAGAGGCGAGGCTGCTGAACACAGGCGCCACCGGTCCCTCTGACCACCACCAGCAGGCAAGGGGTGTTAAGTGTCTTGCCCAAGGACACAACGGCACCATTCTCTGGTCGAAGCCGGGATCAAACCTGCAACCTTCCAGATACTGGACAAGCGGCTCCACCTCCTGAGTTACTGCTGTCCCTTCACTAATTCCATTTAACACCAACAAGAAGCCAGCTGGCGCTGCTGTGACTCACAGACACCTGAGTCATACTAAATGATCAAGTATAGCTTTATTTTGAAAAGTCTGGGACTGGAAAACAAAAATATGCTAATTCTTGCATTAGAAGTGATTTTTATGAGTGTTTGGTCTGCTAACCAGAAGCTCTGGGGTAAGTTTATCAGTGAGAATAAAGTCCGGCACACACACACACACACACGCACGCACGCACGCACGCACACACGCACGCACGCACGCACGCACGCACACACACACACGCACGCACGCACGCACACACACACAGCGTGTAAAGTATTGTTTTAATAAAACTCACGAGCCAAGATGAGTGTGTGTGTGTGTGTGTGTGTGTGTGTCCTGTTCTGACCCAGTGTTTTCTTTGGGTGGCTAATGTAGCCGAGAGGCTATTTTCACACTGAGCCCGCCCGTGTAACTCTAAGTGATCAATCATTTATGTGTCTCAATGAACCTCATCTTTAACCCTCCCGCTGTCCTAATGGGGGTGACCCCGCCAGGAAAGGTGACCATTGAGCAGGGTTGATGGTTATCCCTTGAGGACCAGGTGGCAGGGGTGAGGACCAGGTGGCAGGGGTGAGGACCAGGTGGCAGGGGTGAGGACCAGGTGGCAGGGGTGAGGACCAGGTGGCAGGGGTGAGGACCAGGTGGCAGGGGTGAGGACCACATGGTCCCAAGGGATAACCATCAACCCTGCTCAATGGTCACCTTTCCTGGCGGGGTCACCCCCATTAGGACGGCGGGAGGGTTAAGAAACTATCATGATTGTCATTTAAGATATTTTAAAAATGTCATGAAACTGACTACCTCTGTGTGTCTAATCCTCAAAAACGAGAGAAAATGATTTAACGTCGTTTTTGAAAGACTTTAAGAGACTGAAGACGTTTAGAAAATCTTAAAGAAAGCAGATATGTATGAAATGCAGCCGAGCAGAGGGAACTCACTATAAACAGCTTCAATGGTGAATGGAACATCAAGTTTGCCGCTGGACTCCAGAGCCCCGAGGAAGGCAGCGGCATCATCAGTACTCTGGAAACACTCGCTGGTCTGCTGGAAGCACTGACGGTTGTCCATCTCTAAGTAGACAACAGATCTGTGAATAGAACAGAAGGCACAGTTTATTACTTATGTTATAGCTACGCTATAACAAGTTATCCAATCACACACTCGTCTGTTTCCTCACCCCTTGATCTGCAAATGATCGAGCTCCCTCCTCGCTCTCCTGCTGCCGACCACCACATCGTACACACTTCTCTTCATCACAGTCAGCGCCTTGCCAGGAACCTCTGACCAAGAGTCCACCGAGCGCTTCACATTGTACTTCTTCAGCTCCTGTTCGTTCCCATAGTACGGGTAAACCATCAGCTCCCCATTTGCATCCTTCCTGAATAGCACGTTGGTTCTGAGGACGCGGCTCAGCTCGCGCAGGAAGCCAAACGAGTTGTTGAGGAGATGCTCGGGGGTGATGTGGACCACCAGGACCAGCTGGCCCACTGCTATCTTCTCAGGCATGTTGGCGCAGTCCAAGCCGTCCCACTCGCACTCTGCGTTGTTGCAGCCCTGGTCACAGTGGCCATCAGCATAGTGGTCCTTGCAGTACTGGTCGTACAGTGGACTAAAGGAAAACAGGCGATGATTGAAGTTCTTATGACGGGTATTAAGTCAAGGTTGTTAACGTGCTTAACTTCAACAAAGAGGCTGCTTACTTGCACTGTCCTTCGAGGTTCTGACAGTCAAATCCATCGTAGAGACACCCAGCATTGTCGCACTGTGAATCGCACTTTTCGTCGTTAAAGTATCTCCAGCACTGCAGAGAGGCGGAGCAGTTCTTCCACGGGTCATCGAAGTTCAGTGAGCAGTCGCCGTTGTCCCAGCCGCACGCGTGGTTGTTGCAGAGCACGTCGCAGTACTTGTTGTGTTTATGCTCCTCGCACTGCGGGATTTCACAGGCGACCATCACGTCTGCCGGCGGCGGGATGGTTTGGCCCACGCCTCCCGGGAAGCTGTAGTCCAGGATGTGGCAGCGGAGGCCGTTGAAGTTGGTGGGACAGATGCAGTGGTAGAACGGCACTTCGCTGCTGTATTCACACGTGCCACCGTTGTAGCAGGGGCTGGAGTTGCACGGGCTGTGAGTGGGATACTGGCACTCAGGCCCGGTGAACGATGGCAGACACACACACTTGGGACTGTTGTGACCAGAGATGCAAGTCCCACCATTACGACAGTGAAGACTGCCACAGGCCTTCGAGTCATATTCACACGAGGAGCCGGTGAAACCCTTAAAATCACAAACAAGCTTTATTGTTGTGTTAGTAAACAGTTTATTGTGTCTTTTACAGAACTTATCAAAAGAAATTAGTATATTTCAGATTAAAATTCAGGTTAATACAACTAAGTAAACAGGCTCTGAGTGAAAAACACAAGCTAGCTTTTTTATATATAATTAACTCGTTCACTGCCCATGACGACTTAAGTCGACATTTGCATGTTTTTGCTGTGTGGGCGTCGGACGAGCCCCCGCACCGAGAGAACAAACATCTCAGCCCTGAAGCCGATCTTCATCCGCGTACGACACGCGTCACGTGACCAGGAAGCAGAACATCCATGTGTTAGGAGATCGTTTTGGGCCGCTGCTGTAAAGAAAGTGAGCCGCGAACCGGAGAAGCTTCTGCCGATCACAATTCAACAACGGATTATGAAAGAACGGATAACGCTCGAAACGTGCGGATTCTTCCTGATGTAAGAGGTGAGTCTCCTCTTTGTTTCTGTTGTTTTGGTGTCGACATCATCCTAGCGCGCAACGTTCTGTCACTCTTAAAAAAACAGTAAAAACGGTGAGAAATGCTGTCAGCGAGTGAGTTAAGAAAATGCAACAAGAAAGTAAAAAGGGAAATGCTCCTTTAATTCTCAATCGATTCCAACAAGGTGTGTGTGTGTGTGTGTGTGTGTGTGCAGGGAAACATATAAAACATGCAAGTGGTGGTCCTCCAGAACCAGGATTGAATTCTCCTGTCTTGAGACATCACTTGGGAATTTCATAACCTGCAACTTCATTTGAGACTTTCATATCCTGAGACTTGACTTGGGACTTGCATATGCTGAGACTTGATTTGACCTAGCACTTGCATGCCTTGGTATTTGATTTGACTCGCCTTGATACCGAGTCATGACTAGTAAAACAAAGACGGGACTTCCTCTCTGGTTATAATCATCATGTGTACAGGCTTAGGGTTAGGGCTGGCGTCTGAGACGAACATACTCACAGGAGGACATTTGCAGATGAAGCCATGTGGTGTGTTACTGGCTACTGAACAAGTTCCTCCGTTACGGCACGGTTTCGTCTTGCAGCCGTCAAAGATCGTGTCACAAAGCTGGCCTGAGGAGAGATCACACACAAACAAAAGTAAGATGTTGTATCAGTCTGCAGCTATGAAATACTAATATGTAGAAACACTTCCTGATATTATTTGAAGTTTAATTCATAGTAGTCGAGAAAGTCACTAATATCTGCTAATTCCTGGTATATTAGCTTAAATATGAATATTTAGATTATTCTGAATTCATAAACAAGGAACCAGACGATCTTCATAAGGAAACCTGCTAATTAAACCCATGAAAGTGTCATTTCATAAACTGGCACCATGTAACTGCATGGGCCCTGCTGTACCTGTGTATCCTGTCAGACACTCGCAGCGATAACCATTAGTCAGCTGGATGCAGCTGTGTGTGCCCCGCGGGTTGCACGGGTTGGACAGACATTCATTGACGTCTCCCTCGCAGCGCTCCCCAACATATCCCGCGGGGCAGATACAGTGGTAGCCTCCCACTCTGTCCACGCACTTTCCTTTGTTAAAGCACTTTGGCTCTTTGGTGACGGGGTCCGTCAGAGGGTTGCAGTCGTCGACGTTGATCTCGCAGTGCACACCTGGTTTATGAATAGATGGAAAAGTGGTTTTCAACCTTCATCTACTTCAGCCGCAGTGATCTATTCCTAATAATCAGTCTCTAAGCATCAGTATGTGAAAGAGGCATGTTTAAAAGATGCTACTAAAGTACCACAAACTACTAGAATATCCGTGCTCTTAAGTCTGATTGACGCATTTGCACAGAGCCTGAGCCGAGCTGCTCCCAAAAACTCTAAAAACCTGTTGGATGCTTCGGGGTCCGCCCGACTCGGCTGACCTGCAACGCGCTACTCCCTTCAAGTCTGAGGGAGAAATCAATGGCAAATTTACAAGCAGAGGAAGAGTTGGAGGCGAGCTGCGAGGAGGGGTTTTAATGGCCTGGGTGCTGTTAAGCCCTAATTAATGAAGCGTGGAGATGTGGAGAAGAGGCTGGAGAGGCGGAGGAGTGTGTGTGGGGTCTGCTGACCTTGGGTTCCTCTGGGACAGGAGCATTTGTATGTATTGATCAGGTCAATGCAGGTGCCTCCGTTCTGGCACGGCTGGGAGAAACACTCATTGATGTCCACAGAGCAGTTGGTCCCCAAGTAGCCTGGCATGCACTGAGGGACGGAGAGAGGGAGAAAGGAGAAGAAAGCAGGAAAAGAGAGAAGAGGTGGAGAGCTGAATCAATGTCTGGCATCAAACAGAGAAACTTTTGTTTACCTGGCTGTTTCCTGGCATCCTCCTGCCAAGGCCAGCAGATCCTTTTCTCCAGAGGAGATTAACAAAACCGAGTTGTTTGTTTTCTATTTATAAACAGGACTCTTCATTAGAGGCATTGCTGAGAGGAGAGCAGCAGCAGAACCCCACCCATCGGGCTCCATTTAACAAATAAGCCTGCAAGTCACAAACGCTGGGTCCTGGCATCTATGTGGCTGTAACTTTGATATGTGACACCACCTGAGTATTATTTCAGACCGGGAACATCTAACCAAGAGGACAATGCAACCATGACAGTGCAACTGCTCAGGAATGGCTTTGGAGGCACAGGAAAAGTCCAGATTGTAATCTGATCAGGCAGGAGTTAGACGTCAGAGCACCATGGTTGTTTCAAAAGTCCTGATCCCAAAAGAAGCTCCGTGTTGTCTCAAATAAAGACTTCTCTGCTAAATTAAAGGCATGTAGCATAAAAATAGGATAAAATAATTATTTCTGTTTCCCTCTTTTTTATCTATTAATAAATACCGTATTTTCTGGACTATAAGTCACACTTTTTTTCATAGTCTGGTTGATCCTGTGGCTTATATACCAAATTATGTAGGCTATACCGCGCTGCTGCGGGCCGGCTCCGGTCCAGGTTTCAGCTCCTCTGCCCCGCTGGGAGGGTTTCAAACACCGCCATCACCTGCTGGAGACCGCGGCGCTGCTGCGCCCTGGTTGTTTATTCTGTTATTGCTACCGGTACTTGTCTTGCAATGTGAAATGCTTGGTCTCAGATTTTGTAAGAAAAATGATAAAATTTCCCCCCAAAATACGACTTATAGTCCAGAGCGACTTGTACTCCGAAGGACTTGTACTCTGGAGGGACTTGTACTCTGGAGGGACTTGTACTCCGAAGGACTTGTACTCCGGAGGGACTTGTACTCTGGAGGGACTTGTACTCCGAAGGACTTGTACTCTGGAGGGACTTGTACTCCGAAGGACTTGTACTCTGGAGGGACTTGTACTCCGAAGGACTTGTACTCTGGAGGGACTTGTACTCTGGAGGGACTTGTACTCCGAAGGACTTGTACTCTGGAGGGACTTGTACTCCGGAGCGACTTGTACTCCGGAGCGACTTGTACTCCGGAGCGACTTGTACTCCGGAGCGACTTGTACTCTGGAGGGACTTGTACTCTGGAGGGACTTGTACTCCGGAGCGACTTGTACTCCGGAGCGACTTGTACTCTGGAGGGACTTGTACTCTGGAGGGACTTGTACTCCGGAGGGACTTGTACTCTGGAGGGACTTGTACTCTGGAGGGACTTGTACTCTGGAGGGACTTGTACTCCGAAGGACTTGTACTCCGGAGCGACTTGTACTCCGGAGCGACTTGTACTCCGGAGCGACTTGTACTCCGGAGCGACTTGTACTCTGGAGGGACTTGTACTCTGGAGGGACTTGTACTCCGGAGGGACTTGTACTCTGGAGGGACTTGTACTCCGGAGGGACTTATAGTCCGGAAAATACGGTAATAAAATCTCACAGTAAAAACTGTCTATGAAGGCTCTAAAGCTGCGACAGAAGAAAACGTAGCGCTGAAACGTATTCAGACTTGTTTAAATCTGCAAACATCTTAGATTTGTGAGATTTTGCACATTTGCAGCTTAAAGCCACGCACACGCAAACACAACGATAATCCAGGTGCAGTCTGCACTGGTTTCACGTTGGTGCCGGTGGGTTTCCTGCTGGTACCTTGCACGTGTATCCACCCAGGAAGTCTGTGCAGGTGGCTCCGTTCTGGCAGGGGTTCGGCGTGCATTCGTCTACCTGCTCCTCACAGTAGCTCCCAGTGTACCCGACCTGACAGTCGCACTTGTGGACGTTTCCTGTGTCCCGACACTGACCCGAGTTTTGACACAGCTGGGAAACGTCGACACCTGAGACGAAGACAGATTCGTTTTAACGCCCGCAGAATGAGATATCGTTTTATTTTGTCACACACAGATGCTTCATCGCGGTCTACCTCTCTGTTTAGCCGCCACCTCACAGGAAACACTCGGGACATCACAGTTAACGCCCGCCCAGCCGGTACCGCACTGACAGCTGTAGGCGGTCCCACTTTGCCAGCAAGAACCCCCGTTTTTACAGGGCGATGTCTCGCACCAATGAACGATGTTCTGAAACACAAACAACAACAAACTTGGCTTTTATCAGACATTCAAACATCTAACCAAGCCATCAAGGCAAATTTCCACAAGTAAGTCACTTGAATATATTTTAAACTTTCAAAATAAGACTTGATAAGTATAACGTGCCTGCTACCTGACAAGTGAGTCCAGTGTAGCCATGGGGACAGGTGCACTGGTAGGCGCCGTAGCTGTCCTGACAGGTGCCTCCATGCAGACAGGGTTTGGAGTCACACTCGTCGATATCATGCTGGCAGTAGCTTCCAGTGAAGCCTGGTGGGCACAAACAGGTGAAGGTGTTGATGCCGTCCACACAGGTGCCGCCGTTAAAGCACGAGCTGTGGAAAAACAAACATATGAATAAAACAAAAAACTGCTGAGAAAAATCTGTTTTTCTTTAAAAAAAAAAAAAGATAAAATCAATCAAACATTTTTGAGCTGCAAGCAAATTTAACGCCGATCTATAAAGAGAAAGTTTTCTAATTAAACTTTAGTTTTTACCTGAATACCAAACATCATGTTCAAAGTTCTCACGCACCAGAGACACTGGGCTTTTCCATTCTAATAACATTAAATTATTATACAGACTCTAACTTATCAGCGCTTTTGTAACAGCTGCAACTCAACACTAGTTGCTGCTGAGCAATCCTCCACCACCGGGGGCAGCAGTGGACCAGACTGGGAGATCTGGCCATAAATGAACGTCTCATCAATCAGAGTCAGAGCGGTGGGGTTGAAAGCCTGACTTTGCCTCCCCGTACCTCTCTGTGCAGTCGGGGGTGTTATTTTCACAGTGGATCCCACTGAAACCAGGTGGGCAGGTGCAGGTGTAGCTGTTCACACAGTCTGTGCAGTTGGCTCCATTCCTACACGGGTTGCTCTCACACTCGTTGATGTCCTCCTCGCATTTCGGCCCCCGAAAACCAGGCAGGCAGGTGCACAGGAAGCTGTTGGCCTCGTCTTTACAAAGGCCGCCGTTGCTGCAGGGATCTGTGAGGAGAGGTTAGAGAAGCTCTGCTCTCTCCTGCTGGTCTCTGTGACAGGTGTGAAATAGGAGACAGGTAAACCGGAACTTACTGGGCTTGCAGTCGTCTCTGTTTGTTTCACAGTTGCGTCCGGTGAAGCCCGGCTTGCAGCCGCAGCGGTAGCTGCCCAAAGTGTTGTGACACGTTGCTCCATTGTGACACGGATTTTTTACGCACTCTTTGATGTCCACCTCACAAGTTTGGCCTTAAAGTGGATCCAAAAGAAGACGTCACACAACGAACGTGCACTAAAAGCCGACTAAGATGCATTTCATTTGAAAGAATTTCCACATAAAGATGGCGCCAAGTGTGTAAATCCATTTCTACCAAAAATATGTTTCAATTTTAATATAGAAAATCTAATAATTTGGCCTCATTTGACAACTTTAGCCCACCTCTCTACAAATTTAGACACTACTGCTCTTTACCAGTTTTATAAAACTGTATTTATTTATTTATTTAGCTTTTAGGAAGACACAAAAAGAGTCAGCATGCCGGACGCTCCTCACCCTGCCATCCTTCGGGACAGACGCAGAAGAAGCTCAGATAGTCCTCTGACTCCTGACAAACTCCCCCATGCTTGCAGGGCTTGGAGCTGCAGGGAGCCATCAGTATTTCACAGTTTTCTCCTGTAACACACAGAAATACACCCTGGAAGAGTCTGGATTATGGGATGTTTTGCTTCAGTGTGTGACCGCATGCATGACTCGTGAACTTGAAGATAACCCAACCCAAATAGACACAGAATCATCTTTCAGTCAGCGCTATCAGTAGAGTTTCTCCAGGCTGTGTCGGTGTTAGACGCCCGTGGAGATGTGTTTCCACAACGCACGGCTCGCACAGGAGGCCGGGTCCAGCTTCCGGCCATTGTTAGGCCGTTGCTGGTCTGTGAGACAGGAAGCAGGCAAACAGGAAACGTGTTCGGCACCATGTTCCCACCCCGACCCAAAGTGTCTGTATTCCTTAAACTAATGTGGATTCTTCCAAAACATACAAGACCGATGCAAGAATCCTTCCCTTAACTTTCCCATCAGTATCTGTTTGGTTAAAAGAAAAAAGTAAGATGCCATCAAACCACTTCCTCGACTGCTTCTGAGTCACAATGCAGCAAAGGCCCAAGGAAGTCTTGTGATTGAACTTTACTCGACATTTTTCCTCTTTTCCAGAAATGCAAAGTACACAAGTTAGTGAAAAACACTCCCTGTTGGGGAATTCCACCACCCCAGCCTGATAAATCAATAAAGTGTCAAATAACTTGAATAATATTTTCATACCCGTGTACGGGAGGATGCAGTTGCACTTGTACCCTGCAACGTCGTCAATGCAGGTGCCCTGGTTGAGGCAGGGGTTGGAGGCACATTCGTTAATGTTGGTCTGGCAGTTTGGTCCTGAAACCAGAGCAGATCATAAACTACAGTTCAGTCCAGACCAGCAACCGCTGCACACAAGCAGACACTGACCAGTGAAGCCCACACAACAGGTGCACACGTAGCCGCCGGTCATGTCCCTGCAGGTGCCTCCGTTCATGCACGGGTTGGATTCGCACTCGTTGTTGTTGATGTCGCAGTTTTTACCGCTCCAGCCGGAGTCACACAGGCATCTGTAGCTAAAGGGTGGACAGCAACAGTCAGTCAGTCAGGAACAGGCTGCTAACCCTAACCCTGATATGCTTGTGAGTGGACAGCAGTAGCTCCTGAGGTAGAGCGGGCTTCCTTTTATCGGAAGGTTGCAGGTTCAATCCTGGCTCCGACCAGAGAATGATGCTGTTGTGTCCTTGGGCAAGGCACTTAACCAGTCTCGCCTGCTGGTGG